CACTTGCAAGTAATCTTAGTGCATCTATCATATTTCTTAGACTCCTACTATTTGTATAGTAAACCTTAAGGGAGCCAGTCACTCGTTGCCCTCTACTATCTCTCCCTGTTTGATGAACAATTGCATTGCCTTTACTGCAATTTTATTCTGAATATTGTCTTTTAAACATATCCCTGTGGTATCCTGGTAATATCTGCTGTTTTCAACCCTAGTACCACAGCCTGATTGTTTCCCACAACACCCATGCCTCAATAATTTAAGAGTTTAAAGTCCTAGACAAGTCATCAATGACCCCCTCAATCGAACTGGCTAATGCAGCCACTACAGCCCCAGAAAGATGAACACCATCCTTTGCATACATATCACGTTTGCCATAGAATTTGTCCCAGTTACCAATGAATGGGACTGCAAGTTCATTGCAGTACTTGTCTAGCCAGCAATTTATACCAATTGCCCTAGATATCCATTCACTGCCCACTCCCCTTCTAGGCAAGATGCTGCATATATTTGGGATCCCTTCTTTAGACCTGACTACATATATGGCTGACCTGTACTTATCCAGAAGCTCCTGTCTCCTGCCCTTCCCCATGTCATTTCCACCATCACTAAGGCAGATAATGGGCTTGTTCCCATTACCTGACATAATATTATCCAACCTGCTGACTATGTCACCAACACCAGCTCCTGGGAGGCACACTGTCTGACCTTCCTATCTTTGTTACTATCTCTGACACTCTCCAGCTCACTACTGGTAACTTTCTCCTCCTTGCCAGCTCCAACCATCTCACACTCACTCCCAAACCCATGTAGGCAAAGCTTCAGCCTCCTATTTTCCTCCTGAAGAAGTAGAACCTCCTTCTTCAACACTTTAACCTGAGATTCTAAAGCACTACAGCAATCCATGATGCTCGGTAACACTCCACGCTAATTCCCAGACAGCTTAGAACAGGATGACCTCACGTGACCACTGACCGCAGCTCTCTAAACTTTCAATAAAATTTTTGTTCTTGAAATTGTATATGCTTTTTAAAATATATTTTAACTGCAGCGTATATTAAAATAGCGGTGAATCAGAAAGTTTCAGAATTGGCAGGAAGAGGAACGCTTCAAGAAAAGAACAACTAGTTTGGAAAAGCAATGCAAAAGATTACACGAAAAGGAAAATAAACATATTAGACAACAGTGAATATGTGCAGCATTAAAATAGGATCACACTAGAAGAAATATATGTAATATAAAATGGGATAGCAGAAACATGACTGTTTTAAGTTACCTGATTAGGAGACAGTTAGATAGAGCATTCCCAAGATAGGAAAAACAATGTAAAGTGTGTAAAGGGGTGAACCATCACACTTTCCAGCAATTATGTTTTAAAATGTAATAGCGTAGAAGCATGTAGAATTATTGCCACAAACACTTCAAAATAAATCTAGTAAGTTGTAATACTGGTTCGTAGTGTGCCACGAAAATATAAGGGATTTGCTGTAATCAGATAAGAATAAATTATAAAGGATGTGAAACTTAAATGTTGAGATAGGAAAGGCTAGAGTTGATATCTCTAATGGAGTGTCAAGTATTTTGGTTTTAAGGCAGTGTCCTTATGGTAAAATCCAAAAAACAAATCATATGGGTGTTAATGCCGAAAGTAACTGCTTGATGATTGTTTGAACTAATATCTTCATAAATAATAACATGCCTTACTAAAATCTCATACGCATGGTCCACCTCAAAGAACAGTGTCAGCTTTGTATAGTCATCTACGTACATTATCCAGTAATCTTGTAAAGAAAAATTTACGAAAACACCAAGGAAATTCATAAATGTACTAGATCGCAGCTTTACTTGTGGCACTTGCCAGTAGGATGCTTTAACATATCTACCAACTGGAACACTCACAACGAAGGTCAACAAATTATCCAACTGGGGGAGCTAGGTCATGGAAAGTGACACTAAGTTATACTTTATGATGCAAGACCTGTACAGGGGACCACGCACCTCTTGGCTAGTGGTATTTCCTCGTGTAGTGTGAATTTGCAGCAAAGTGGTAGCTGACCAATATAGTCTACACGGTCTGTGCCATGAAAGTTCCAAAGAATTACGTACACAGCAAAGTCAATGACATCAAGAGGGCCCTTCCTATAGCCCACTGTTCAACAGTCTTCATCTCTTAAGACCCTTAATCCTGGCAATATTACATGACACTCAAATAGGATCACATTATATCCCCAGAGGAATGGTTGATTTCTTTATTAACGTTTCGAATATTTTGTCATCATCAACAGAATATTAAATTGTATTACAATAAAAATTAAGCATATTTTTAACATATTTATAATGCTATCTACCCCATGAATTTAGTGACTTAACTAAGATTATTTAATTACATGATTTACAACAGACTTAAATTTGTATACCTTTGCATATCTGGAGTCTACCTGAGGGAAGTTACTGGGGCCATCGCCCCCCAAGGTTTCACGATAGATCAGGGCCTGATCAACCAGACTGTTACGGCTGGCCACACGCACTGGTGAGGCACTGATTTAAGTATATGTCCAGTTTTCCCTTGAAGACGGATAAGGATTTATCGGCAGTCTAGATGGACTGACCACATCGACTCAAGGTTGAGGGACTGATTACCTCATTCTCCTCCTGTTCTTCAAGATTCTCCTTTGTATGGACTGATGAAGCCACTGTGTGGCGAAACGTTTCCTCAATAAAGATACCCAAGAGTTGCACAAGTGTCTAATTTATCAAGGAGAATTTCCAGAGACTAACGATCCTGAGTGACCTCCGTGAAGATACAGAAGAATAGGTACCACCAGAACCATCCTATGTCCAATAAGGATAAAACCACCCCAGTTTATGGAGACTTTACTTCTAACTAATTAATATTTACATCTAACCATATAACATCTGCAAACCTACTACGGAAGGACACCACCTCAGAAACAACTCAGCCGAATAGCAACTCCAGAAAGCAGCCGACCTGCATCAAGCACACTGCAACCATCATCTTTAGCCTGTGCCCTGCAATCAACCTCCTGCACGAGAGAAAAAAAAGCAATTACAAAAAAGTATACTCCCCACAAACTCATGCAGTTTTACAACTGGTATAACTGTGTGGAGCTGATGGGTAGAATGTTATACCCCATTCTATGAATTTTATGAATTCATGAATAACATCACACAAACACACACACACATACACACACACATACACACTTGTATTAAAATACCCCAAAGCGGTTAGGCCACTTACCTTTATTACCACACCTCCTCTACCCTCAGTCACCCTTTTCCCATATTTCCGTAATTGTGCATCGTTCTTCCGTCCCCATCTTACCAAAGCTCTAGTCATAACTCAACTCAACAGGTCAAAGGACCTCATACGTTCCAAGGAACTGAGGTGCTTTACTGAATTTATACGTGCAGTGAAGGTCCTCTCTTCAGTCTCCAGTTCTGCAGTTTCGCCTGCCTTGAAAGGGGCTGTTTGTTCTCATATTAGTTTTGGTTTATATCAGCATGAATATTTACAATGCCCTCAATAGATGACACTCTCATGAAGATTCTAATAACGTCTGCAAAGGAAGACGCCGTTTATGTCGAATATGAAGATGAGGAAAAGGATGGGGAGAATACAGTTCATAATGGAACTAAGCTTTTCACTGTGTCAGCCTATTCCTTAACCCTGCTTACTATTACTCTTTGTGCTCTCTTGGATAGAAAATTAAAGATCCATTTGACCACTTTTCTGTAATATTCTTAGTCCACATTTTGTGCCCTAATACACTACGATCACACTTGTGGAAGGCTTTTGCAAAGTATATATATACTAATATGCATTTTGTTTGTCTTCCGGTGCATCATAAACCATGTCATAATGGCCTAGTAGTTTTGAGAGATAGAAGCGACCTGCTTTGAACCCATACTGCAACTGTTGGGAATCCAAGTGGTTGGCGATCTTGCTTCTTAGAACCTTTTCAAAGATTTTTATGATATGGGACATTAGAGTTATCGGTCTATAATTCTTTGCTATTCTTTTTCGGTCGCCTTTGTTGAGTGGGGCAATATCCGTTGTTTTTAGTGACTCTAGGATGGCCCCAGTGTGAAGGATCCCTCTACATAACGTACATAAGGCACGCGACAGGGTTTTTTTTTGCAGTTATTGATGAATACATGGTTTCATGTCTGGACTTGGGGCAGAGTGCATAGGCATTTGCCAGTGGCTATTTCAAAGCCCAGTAATGCTTGGGTTAAGTCAGAAATTTTGTAGATATTGATATTATTCTAGGTCTCGTCCATAAAAAAATGATTCGAACTGTCAGTGTTGATTCTGATCAACGGCTCACTAAATGAAGTTTTATTCAGATTTCAGTGAAGCAATCATTTATTTACAATCATCAGTATAAGTCCCAACTTGTTTAAGCAAACATTGGAAACTGGATGCAGTTTTTGCTTTGTTTTTTGGAAAATGAAAATAATTTTTTGGGATTTCTTTCAATTTCATTTATAGCTTTTAGCTCCTGTCTCTCTTAGGCTCTGTAAGACTCATTTAGCTAATGTTCAGCATTTTCTATTTCCGTAGTCAGTTTTTTCTTTCGCATTTCAGATAGTCTAATTCCATTTGGAAATTCTGCGATTCTTCTTCTCCTGTAGAGGGAGCGTGTCTCTCAACTTTATTCTTTCTCATTCCTTAAGGGAATGTGCGCTGATCATGCTTCAACTGCCAGAGTTGACTCTTTCGAGACACTGGTTTGGATCCATGTGTGAAACTAACTTGTTCTAAAGAAGATGAAATTAAAATAGAAATTTCTTCTTTCAATTTTTTTGTTTTTATTCAGATATATATATATATATATATATATATATATATATATATATATATATATATATATATATATATATATATATATATATATATATATATATATATATATATGAGACATTGTGATATACAGTTTGACAGAATAATGAATGTGGCTTCACTTCTCTCATTACAG